AGTAGCAGTAGTAGTAGTATTCTGATTTTTTTGTTTCTCCTGCTTAGAAGGTGTAACGACCCGACTGGTCGTTTTGAGCAATTACGTCCGGTTTGCTAGCTTGAGGGCACGAGTAACTTCACACAGTATATTATGACTTGTGTGCATCATCGATTCAGGTTTTTGAGAAGTTCAAAAGGGATTTTTAGTAGTGACTCTCATTTAGAAGCTCGAAGTTAAAAGAATTGACCAAGGTTTGACTTTTAAGTATTTGACCTCGGACTAGAATTTTGATGGTTCTGATAGGTTCGGGTGGTGATTTTGGACTTAAGAGTATGTCCGAAATTTGAATTTGGAGGTCCGTAGGGTAATTTGAATCATTTTGGCGAAAATTGGAAAGTTGAAGTTTTGGAAGATTGAGAGGTATGACTGAGAGTTGAATTTGGTGATATTGAGGTTGGAATGTGATTCCAAGATTTGGAACAACTCCGATATGTCATTTGAGACTTTCTTGCAAAATTTGGTATTATTTGGAATTGATTTGATATGGTTCAGACACTTGGTTGCGATTCTAGAAATTCTTGAAGTTCATGGTGATTTTCATGTGTTTTGGCATCCGATTCGGGGTTGTAGAGGTTATTTTGGTGCTTCGATCGAGCGAGCGAGTTTGTGTTATATTTTAGACTTGTGTGGGTATTTGGTTTGAGCCTCGGGGGTTCGGACGAGTTTCGGATTGGCTTCGGATTATTTTTGTTAAACTTTTAAGAGTTGGTTCTGGTTTAATCACATTTGCAAGAGTGGGCGATTTTGAGAGAGGATATTCATATCAAATCATTAAGTAAGTGTCTTTAATCAATTTTTAATTATATTTCATGATTATACCTTAGATTTAACATCAAATTCATGAGAATCCAAAAACAAATTGGGAAAAATTGTAAAAAAATTCAAAAATATAAAATGATGATTTGAAGGACGAATTGGTATCGGAACTTGATAATTTTTGTATGGTTGAACTCGTATCTGAATGGGTGTTCGGGTTTTGTAAATTTTATCGGGTTCTGAGGTGCGGGCCCGGGGAGTTGACTTTTAACAAATTGTATAAGGATCATAACTTTATTAATTGAAATTATTTTTTCTTCCATTGTTTGATGTATTTAAGTCGTCTTTGGCTAGATTGAGCCGAGCAACGGTGAATTGTAAAGGAAAAGCTAAATTGATGTCATGACCCGAATTTCCCACCGATGGAACCGTGATGGCGCCTAACATTGAACCCGCTAGGCAAGCCAACGTTACCGATTATATTACCTTTTTCCTTTATCTTTTAACAGCTTACAAGTAAACAAAAGTAAATCAGCGGAATAAATACGGAAGAACGGAATTTAACAGATTATCTCAATACAATGAACGAAACCGTAATAAAACTCCACCCAGAACTGGTGTCACAACTCATAGACGGTCTACGAATACTACAATTAATGGTCTGAACAAGGAAATGTACATATGTTCGAAAATAGATAAACAGAAAAAGAAATATGATAGAGATATGATAGAAGGGGACGCCAAGGCCTGCAGACGCCTGCATGACTACCTCGGGTCTCCACAGGATTGAAGGCAACAACCTCGAACTACGGTTTGTATGGTCCAGTACTGGGATCTGCACAAAAAATGCAGAGTGCAGTATCAGTACAACCGACCCCATGTATTGATAAGTGTCGTGCCTAACCTCGATGAAGTAGTGACGAGGATAGGATACGAAAAACATCATAAACCTATGCAGTTAATCCGTATAATAACAGAGTAACAAGTAATAAAAAACTAAGTAGAAATGTACAGGAAGGGGCAACATGCTTTGGGGGTTTCAACATAAAGAATTACAGCAGTAAAGGAATTTAAACAGTTAAAACACTTGAATCGATAACAGCTAATGAACACAACAAACAAAAAATGCACAGCACCACCCTTCGTGCTTTTACTCTCAAACCTCACCATGCAATCAATAATAGAAATATGCACAGCATCACCCTTTGTGCTTTATCACTCTTCCTCACCATATGAATAATAGAAATGTGCACGACATCACCCTAAAATGACATCAAAATCCACCATATTGAGAAGTAAGAGATCTATGCTAGTCTCAAGACCCCCAATAACAACCACACATGAATGATAAACACGATCTACCATAATAGAACCACCCATCGGTGTAGACACATATTCAGGAGCACTCAAAGAATCACGAGGCACAACCAAATATGGGGCAAAATAAGATGACACATAGGAGTATGTAGACCCTGGATCAAATAGAACTGAAGCATCTCTACTGCAAACTGAAACCGTACCTATGATAACTACATCGGAGGACTCAGCCTCAGGTTTGGCTGGAATAGCATAACATCGGGGCTAAGCCCCACCACTCTGAACTACATCCCTAGGACGGCCTCCTGTTGGCTGACCTCCACCTCTAGCTGCCTGACCTCCACCTATAACACCTCGACCTCCACCTCTAGTTGCCTGACCCCTA